AAAGTCAGTGGCAGGCAGTGAAGTGCTGCAGGCTGGGGGCACTCGAGCACCACAGTGCACAAGCCCCAGGCTTACCCTTCTTTCCTTGACCGCTGGAAAAGACATCGAAGACCACAGTGAGGGTCTGTCTGAGCTCCCAGGACACAGCCATGCAGGAGGCATCCTGGAAAACAGAGACAAGTGGCTCTGATCACACCTTCTGGAGGGTCAGAACACCAGGACAGAGCTGGAACTCCACCAGGACCATCACTGGGATGCAGGTGAGCCCAGAGCAGCAGGACGACAGCTGCGTTAGACACAGTGAACCCACGGCAGCAGAGCTGGGCAAACCAGTGTGTCACAGCATGACAAGGAGGCTGTGGATTGTCTGTTGGGATGTTCAGGGAGGGAGCTGAGCCTGGAGCTTACCCTGCAGACGGGCCGGATGTGCACTGCCTGGGAGTGGTAGCTGCTGTGGAACAAGCGCTCGGCCTTCAGCAGCACAGCGAGCCCGGCCTGCAGGGAGCAGAGCAGAGACTCAGCCCCTGCCCTGCCCTCTGCTCCCACGGCAGAAAGGCCTGGCTGAGACTTCATGTTTCATGGGGAGTGACCCAAGGAGGCAGCAGGACTTGCTCTTACCTTTGAGCCACAGGGGAGCAGCTTCTTCCAAGGCGTGAGGTTCTCTGTGCAGACGACTTCCCGGGGCAGCACGGCGTATCGCAGGAGATGGTGGTCTGTCCCTGGGAGGGAGCTGGAGGGTCAAGAGCCTGGTACTGCCACAGGCTGTTCCACCCACACCCACCACCCTCTCAATGTGCCCCAAATGCCGTGAGCTCCACTGGGAATACCTCCCACTCTGTTCAGAGTGATTTGGAAAGAGTAAGGATTACGTGTAAGGATGTATCCTAGCAGATTTTTTTTCATGAGGGCCTTAAATCCTGTCGTTCTCACTGTTTCATAAAAAACTTTTCAGAGAGACAGACAAGGGCCTGGGAGCACCTGCCATGTACTGCTTGTGAGCTTCCTCTGTTCAAATGCAAGGCCTGTTTGCAGGGAGAGGAAACACTTTGAGGAGGAGGTTAACAGACCCTGTTGTACCCAGACCCAGAGTCACTGCAGGACCTGCACCAGAATCCTGGCAGTGGCACAGGGAAGAACTAAAGCGAGAGGCAAGAGTGAGAGGGCAGAGCAGGGCTCACCGTTGGCTAAGCCCAGGGGTTTGAAGGATGCTGTTGGAATAACTGTGTTGGTTGAGTCAATGAAGTTGAGAGAAGCACAGAATATTCCCGAGAGGATGTTGCTCAGTTCTTTCCAGGCTTTGTCAACACTGTGTGAGAACAGATACCAGAGATTGCTGAGCAGCTCAAATCCTTGGAACAACAAGCATTAAGTCAGTAACATTCAATAAACAGGACACTTGTAGGGAAGAGAGAGCTCTGTGAGTCCCCACAGAGCTGCTGCAGCTTGAACAGGGCCTGAGTGCTAAGGGACACGGTGACAGATACTGGATGGGAGCGAAAGGAAGTGAGTCATGGATGAGAGGTCAAGATATAACCCCATCCCATTAGTGCAGTGAGGGGTTTGTCAACACAGAGCCCACAAAGGAATTACTTTAGTGCTCTCAGCACCACATCCTGCCCTGTGCACTGAGTGGGATATGTTCTGCTTTTTTTTAGAGCTACTCCTGGCATTCCAGGCTCTTTATTCCAGAAGACATTTTCCACCCAGGAGACCAATTCACACAACGCAGCTGCCTCCTGAGAGATGAGCCACAGCTCCTGGGATCGCTGGCCATGGAGGGACCCGAGGGAACAGATCCACGGCTGAGGTACCTACTCGGTGACTGTGGGCTGGAACCAGACCCAGAGCTCGGCGCCGGCGGGTGCCTGGAGGGGCGGCTGCCCCCAGAACCGTGTGCGCCAGAAGCCCTGGGTGAGGGCGAGGTGGAGCTCCCGCACGCCCAGCGCCGCCACCAGCCGCCCCAGCGCCTTCGGGAACAGCCTGTAGTGAGAGACTGTGTGGGCAGCGTTAGTCCCTGCCCGCCTCATCCCCCATCCCTGCCCCTGACGTCACACCAAGGCCTGGCCAAGCATGACATCATCCCCTGACACTGCCCCTGCTCTCACCATCACACGCAACCCGCACCCATCCCGAGCCCCCTGGGGGTGTGACATCACCGCAACTCTCGGCCTCCCGCAGCCCTACTGTGCCCTGCCCTGCTCGCCTCTGACGTCACTCGCCCCTTGACGTCATAACCCATCGCAAACCATCACGCATCACGCCGCCGTGGCCCCGCCCCTGCGCCGCGCCCCAGCCAATAATTGCCCGGTCCGCCCCAGCGCCAGCCAATAATTGCCCGGTCCGCCCCCAGGATCAGCCAATAGCGGCCCGGTCCGCCCCGGCGCGGCACGCCCTACCTGCTCCCCGCTGCAGGTCCGCGTCCCAACGCGTGCGGAATTGGAAGGTGGCGGCCACGTCCCCGGTGGGCAGCGGGCTCAGCAGCAGCTCCTCCCGCAGCTCGTCCCGCCGCTCCCGCCCCGTGCCCGCCCGCCCGGGGCCGGGACACGCCGCCAGCAGCAGCAGCAGCAGCACGACCGCCGCCGCCATCCCGCGGCCCGCCCGCCCCGCGCCGCTTCCGCTTCCGCCCGCCAATGGCGCCGCTTCCGGGGGCCCGTGGAGACCTGGGCTATGGAGACCATCCAGCCAGCCAGCCTCCCTTCCTCCCTTCCTCTCTCCCTCCCTCCGGGCCGCGGCGGCTGCCCCTGCCTGGGGCCGAGACCGGGAGCCCGCCGAGGAGCTGCTGCACTGAGCTGGAGCCTCCGCGGGGGGAAGCGCCCGCCTGGCTGTGCCCGCGCCCGCCCCCCACCTTGCAGCGAGCGCCGCTGTTTGCACAGAATGTTCGGAGCTGAAGGGGACCACAAGGATCATCGAGTCCATCCCTGATGGTCTGGGGGTGCGAGGGGCTCCCGGGGGCTCCCTCCCCCCCGCCTGTGACGTTGGTGCTGCAGGGGCAGCCCCTGAGTTAGGGGTTCCCTGCGGGGGCTGTGCCTGTCCCGGCTCCCTTGCTCCTCCCAGTCCTTCCCGCTGCTGGCGGCTCTCCCCCGCTCCGTGACGGCTCCTTTCCGGAGGGCAGCGTCTATCTGCGGGTGCAGAGCCATCCGGGAGCCCCCCCTCCCAGCCCGGGGCTGACACAGCCAGAGCAGGGACAGCCCTTTCCTGGGCTGCAGCCACTGATAGTGGCAGTGCCAGCTTTGTGCCCAACTCCTCTTGGCCTGGCCTGCAGGGACCAGGCTGCAAAGTGGCTTCATATTGATGCTGTTCCTTCACTCCTCCGGAGCAGCCTCCAGCCAGGGCTGCTGCACTGGGGGAGCAGCAGCGTCTGGTGCTGCGTGTGCTGGTGTTCTCCAGTCATCCCACCTGTGTGGGAGATCCCCAGTGTGCTCCTGGCGGGTGGTTCCAGGTCACTATCCCCTCAGCCTGCTCAGGTTGTGTCTGTGCTGGCTCCTTCCCTCCTGGAGGCACAGCCCAGGTTGCTCAGCAGGGTGACCTGCTGCACTTACAGCCCTTCTCTGCCAAGGTCTGTGCTGTCTGCTCAGGAACCATCCCTGGGCTGTGCAACAGGAGGTTTTGTTTGCTCCTGCATGTCACCCTTGGCACGCTGGCTTTGCACTGCTCTCCCCCCTGCAATCCCCTCCAAACCCTCACCCCGTGCTGTTCTCTCCCAAAGACACACACACCCACTGCTTGGTTAGATCAGTGTTATTTCTCTGTGTGCAGTGTTATTTCTCTGTTGTTAAGTGCTTGTCTGGGAAGAACCTTTGTCAATAGAACAGGGGGAACTGGGGTCCCAAGGGATGGCTTTCTGGGAATGGTAGGGCTGTGGGAAGCTCAGCATTTTTTGTGGGGGGGTGAAGCAAGGAATGTTAGCAGCAAAGCCTGAAGAGTTAATTTTGGGAGCTTACAATACCCCTTTCCTTCTCCTTTTGGCTGCCAGGAGAACCTGTGGAGGGAGAGGAGGGGAAAACCATCTCTCCCCTCTGGCAGGGCAGCAGTCCAGGAAGGGGTTTGCTGAGCACCAGCAGCTTTCCTTCCTCTGGGCTGGCAAGTCCGTGTGGAGGAGGCTGGGAGCCGGGCAGAGCTGCCTGCTAGCTTCTTGCCACCTGCTCTTTGGAACTGTCCTCCTGCAGGTCCTCCTCATCCGACTGCACCACGGGGGTCTCGGCCCCCTCCTCACTGGTGTCCAGGCTGTTCAGATCCGTGGAGGCCGAGGACGTGGAGGAAATGCGAGACTTGCTCTCGGCTGCGTCAGGCACTTGCAGGGTGATCTCCTCTGGGCACTGGCTGGCATCTGCCCCTGGAGGAGAGAGCAGTGTGAGAAATAAAAAGCCTTCTAGAGGTTTATTGCTCCCTGGGCTTCATGGACAGCCCCTCCAAAAGGCGTGTTTTATTCCTCAGCAGGCTGTGCATTCCTGGCTGCTCCCCGTGCGGCCGCTGTGGCCGTTCCCCACCTCACACCCCCGGCTTGGCTCGGGCAGTTGCTGCACATTCCTTCCCCGTTTTTGGCAGCGGAGCCGTTTCCGTCTCACATGAAGCACAGCTCAGAGCCGTGCTGTGTGAGGCTGCAGCAGGCCAGGAGATGTTTGGCCTGACCTCACTGACCTGTGTGCGTAGAGGAAGGTGCGGCCACCCTGGGCTCTCCCTGCCCTCTCTGGGGTCTGGCTGGGAGGTGGAGGAGTCCTGCAGCTTTCCCACTCAGCACAGTGAGCTCTGCAGCACAGTGGGGACCTGGGGACTTGTGACTAGACACTGGCTGCTCCAGAGCTGCTTCAGGACAAAGGAATTTGACCCACGGACGAGGGAGGTGCCTGGGCTCTCCTGTTTCTGCAGCACAGGGGTCTGTATGTCTGGGCTGTGGAGCTGGATGCTGACGTGGATCAGCCCGAGGTGAGATCCCTCCAACCTCACAGACCCCAGCACTCTGTCTGCCTTTGGGTGGATGTGAATCTGCCTGCAGGGTGGCCAGGGCTGAGGAACCAGCCAGTGTGGGCACTGGGGGCAGGAAGGGCTTCCAGCCTGGCCACAAAAGGCCAGGACTACACATACCTGGCAGGGATCCAACAATGGTGCTCTCCTCTGTCCCACAGCCCAGAAACACATCCACTGTGTCCTGGTCTGACAGGTCCATCATGTCCATCTGCTCCAGCATGTCCACATTCACCTCCATGGAGGAAATGCTGCCTAAGGGAGCTGCAAGAGATAGAGCCCAGTGAAAAGGTGGGTGCTAATGCCAGGCAAAGGGCACCATCAGCACTGTGTAGGCAGGACCCTGAGGAGGGAGACCAGCCCTTGCCTTGGGGAACTGAATTCTACTTGCTGGTAAGGGACCCCCAGGAAAATCATGTTTCCTTAAAACATCCCTCCTGAAGCCCCTGCTGTCTCACTGCAGTCCTTGTCCCTGCTCCAAACTGCTGTCTGGAGGAGCCTGCCCGAAGCCAGTGACTCTGCAGGGCACCAGCTTGGGTACCCATGTGCAAGTGCCTTCAGTGGTGTGAGTAATGCACAGCACAGCACACCCACACACAGCCTGTGTGGTCCTGTCTCGGTGCAGGACATGCGTGTCCCCACTGCCTTTAGACTGCAGATGTCCCACCCATCTCTAACCCCTGTGTCATCGTTCCCTGAAACCCCCCAGCCCCGTGCTGGTGCCCACAGAACTTACGTCTCCGATGCTCTATCTGCAGGTGAGACATCGGGAAGAAGAAATCCACGTCATGCTGGAAAACCTCCTCAAAGAACTTCTGCCGGTCCCGTAGTTTGAGCTGCTGCTGCTGCATTTGCTCCGCATCCAGGCTCCGCTGGGCCTGCTCCATGTCAACTGGGGAGAAAGGGGAGGAGAGTCAGGCCAGGCAGGGCTGTCTGAGCCCTTCTGTGCCAGCTCACACTGTACAGCTGTGCTGGGGGGCTGGTGAGTCCCCTCTGCTCTGCTGTACCAGCACGCACTGATTTAGTCACCGTGGGTAGATGTTACCGGCACGGCAGCGTCACCAGCACATGCTGTGCTGGAGCCTCACTCAGATCCTGCTCCTGAGGTGCAAGGCAGCCAGGAATAGGGAGCTCATACGCTCACGGCTGCTGGAGGGAATTATCAGGGGGGAAAGGGTGCTGGTGTGAGATCAGCCGTGGTTTGCACACGTTCGAGTTTCAGTTTCCTTGCTACCAAACCAAGGGCTGTCTGTGAATGCTAACGAGCAGGGGAGCTCCAAGGAGAACTGGCGTTAGTGCTCCAGGGTTTCTGGGCTGAGGGATGCATAAGGAACAAAAGTGGCTCGCAACCCTGTCACCCCTGCCCGTGCACACAGGCACACGCCCCCGCCGCCACCGCCGCTATAAATACACTGCACCCACGCTCACAGGCTCCCGCTCACATCCCTGCTCACAGCCAGCTTGGCTTCTGCCTGCACAAACATTTTCATTCCTGCAATTCCTCACGCAGTTCACCGCCGGTGCCTGTGTCCCTGGCTCACTGGAGGGACTGGTGGGAGCCCTGGGGCTGTTGCTGAAGGAGCTCATTGCTCATCCCTGGGCCTGGTAACTCCCTTTTGGGTTGAGTACTCGCAACAGCAATGACCCAAGTGGCACAGAGGGTTGTGGCTGGTGGCCCCGGCTGTTCCCAGGCTGGTGTTTGACCTCAGCCATTCCATATTTCCTCTCTGCTGCTCTTGGCCCAGCCGGCACAAGGAAAATGTGATTACTGGAGCAGGCAGTGCAGTAACCAAGGAAACCAAACAAACATCCTTTGCTCTGCCTGAGCATGGCCCAAACCCTCTGCTCCCCCAGGCTGGGGAGCAGCATCCCCACCCTGTCTGACAGGAGCAGGGGCGAGCACAGCAGAGGGGCTGGCTTTCAGCAGCATGGAGCAGCACAGGACCCAAATGGGAGAGAGGTGGTGAGTCTGGTGAGATGTCTTGGAGATCAATGTCACATCTTCCTGAGAGCCCTTCCAGGGTTTCTCTGCACTCTGTTTCTGGGGCATCCTTCAGTGAAACCCCATCATCTGCAGGTGGCTGCCCCTGCGGGCTGGGTTGTGCTGGCAGCACAGCGTGGGGATGCACCATGACTCAGTGCCAGTCACCATCCGCTTTCTGGAAAAAGCTCTGGTCCTCCTCTGGCTGCTCAGCGTCTTCCTGCACCGCCTGGGGCAGCACTCCTGGCTGCCTGAAGGGATCTCTGCCTTGGTATGTCTGACCAAAGCAGTGGTGCCGAGGCTCGGTGTGCTGTGCAGGACCCGGGGAAAGAGTTGTGGTGCCAGGGAAGCTTTCCCACTGAGAAAGCTGCCTCACCATCAGCAGCAGCCCAGTGCCACTGGGGTACAGCGAACACCTCTGGCCACCCTGTGCCATCTGCAGAGCAGAGCGGGGGACAAGAGGGGCTGATCGAGGCACCAATTACGGAGCTGACTCCCTTCAGCAGCTGGAGCCAGCCCTGTGCTGACTGTCCCAGGCAGAGCTGTGTCCCCAGGCCTAGCTGTGCTGAATCCATGGCAAACTGCTGCAGTTCACCATACTGAGGAGAGCCCTAGGGAGGCTGGGCTCAGAGCAGAGACTGTG